AAAAAAAAAAAAAAAAAGGAAAACTAAAAAGTAAACTGATAGACAAGTCTTACACTGTGTTTTGTTATGGTCTGCCTGTGGTGATAGAGATCGCATCCAGGGCCTCCTGCATATGAGGAGAGAAGTGACCTACACCTTGCCCTTTCTTACACAATATATTTTGATAATATCAAAGATTCATTTATTTTCCTAACAAAAACACATAATGAAACAAAGAATTTTAAATATAAACATGTATTTGATGCTATAGTTATTTCATTTTAAGAATGATGCTTAAAAAGCTAGAGAATGAGTAATTTATTAAATGCTGCTGGAGACACAGCACAGCTCAGAGGCAGCATCTGCCTGGCAACTGCAAGGCCCCGAGTTCAATTCCCAGTCCCAAAGACAGGGTGGATGGATGGAAATGCTTTATCTGGGGTTTACTTCAGTTCATCTAGCAAGAGAACAAGCATAGCATGAACAAGCTTCACGTTGGTTATCACTGCTGAAACTTTATTCATATGATGTTCTCTTTTATCTATATAATTTAAACATGCCTATAACATGTATTACTGACATACTCATTTTCAAAAAAAATCAGATACTATAAAGAAAAATGGTTTGAGTCCGCCAACATTTTCTTTTCTTTTTTTTTTTTTTTAAGACAGGGTCTCACTATTTATTTAATTCAGGTTGGTGCTGAATTCACTATGTAGCCCAGGCTGGCTCCTAACTCGTGGTAATATTCCTGCCTCAGCCTCTTGAGCGCTGGGATTATAGGCGTGCATCTCCATGCCCAGCAACATATATGAACTTTAGTTAAAGTGTTAAAGCCACATAAACAACAGAGAAGGATCAGAAACCACACACAGGTGAAGGAGGATTCTTCACACCTTATGATAGCTAAAATTTCTAGGAAAGCACATGCAGAATGGGAATGCTTCGCAAAACCAAAGACTACAGTTGCTTGTATTATTTGTCACTTTCTAAGATTCAAGGCCTAAAACTAGGGAGTTTGGGGGAAGCTTAAAATGGCTAAAAAAAAGTGTTTTTAGTGTTTCAACTTCAACTTTTAAAGTCAGAAGAGTTATTTCAAAGTGCAATGTTCTATTCATTTCCCACTAAAACTAAGTTTTCATTACATCTCAACCGGATACCAGTAACACAGATACCTTGTTCTTTTAGTTTAGGGAGCAACTTGTCTAACACCACCATTTTGCCACTGTTGGTCACTAGATGCATATCTGTTGTGTAAGGTGGACCGGGTTCAGCTCCATCAAACAGGTACGGATGATTACAGCACTTTCTCAGCTGCATCAAGATGTTCAACAACCGCATCTTGTCCATCTTCCCTGCTGAGTTCAGGATATCGATGTCCTTCATTAATATCCGGGTGTACCTATTGAAAAGAAAATGTATGAAAACGTCTCCTGTGCTCCCTGACAAAGCCACACACAGGCAACCCACTTGGGTCCCCTTCTCTCTCTCTCTAGGACAGAAGCTTTCTTCCCCCTAATAAATAATATGATCTTAACAACAAAAAGCCAAGCAGACATCACATTTTAATCCCTTTGCCTACCTTAACCAAATACCTCTAAGAAACAGTTAAGCAATTACTAAGGTGTGCCTATGAACTATCTATAACTTATTTTCTAGTGCTTTCTTAAATTGCCTATAGTGCTTTTGTGTTCATTATATGCCTTGGACCTTGAGAACATGATCTTTTTTTTTTTTTTTTTTTTGGGTGCGGAACCAGGGATTGAACTCCGGCCCTTGAGCGCAAGCGCTTATTCTACTGAACTTATCTCCCCAGCCCCATGATCATTTTAAAAGTACAAAATACTTATACTGCAGTATAAAAAACATGTATTTTGAAGCCCTTAAGTAAAACTTAAAATGTCAATGTTAAATACAAAAGTATAGTATTTTACAACAGAACAGTGCCACTACCAATGCAGTCAGGCACCACAGGACAACTCAGCCAGCCAGCCACCCACGCAACAATAATCCCGTGAGCTTACGACACCTAGGGCCTGTGTTGCTGTCTCAGCCTGTGATAAGGACATTCTTCTCCATACCTACAAAGTCATCCAAGATGCCTTTCTTTGACTTCTCCCTTCCTTGAGTGACACGTGATGGTGCCTCACACCGTGTACCCGGTGCGGCACTTGGGTAAGTGCCCTAACACCCAAGAAGGGAGGAAGAATCAGAGGCAGGCACTGTGATGAGATTAAGAATAATACAGCACAATTTGATCCAAGTGTAACCAATAAATACCTAAGTGAGGGGAGATATGAAGTCTGTGAGGCAAAAGCCATATTAGGCCAAATTGTAAAACGCCACAAAGAGATAATAAGAATGTGGACATTCTTCTGAAAGAACAAGCCATCTGTTTCAACACTGAAGTTTCAGGGAGACTTAAACTGCCACCTGTCCTTCAACACGCCACCGCTAGGCTAGAATATGAGGCAGATCTCATTCAAATTCTGACTCATAACAGAACCTGTCTTCATGCACAGTGACTCATGCCCTAGGTCTCTGCTAGACACATACATACGGGTGTGGGTACGCGTGCACGTATGAGACAAGCCAGTCATCCGTGCTACCCTGTACAAGTCTTGCTCAAGTTTTGAGCACACTGAAGATAGCCTACTTCTACAGTGGACTTCTCTTACCGAGACAGCATGCCCAGCCCTCTCCATGATACCCAACGTACTTTTTAATTCTTTTACTCCAACCCCTTGCACTACTGGAATTCAACACACTTCATATACGGTATCAGAACAGTGAGGAGTAAGGTGTGCTCTAGTTCATTCCCTCCTTTCAGCACACTACACTTACAATCTATACTAAAGTAATAGAATCTTTTTTGATATCCATTTTATACTGCTAAGTTATGTGGTGCTTCTAGCTACCAAAAAATATAATACTACAACCAACCCAGTGGTTTCCAGCTTTTTAAGCATCACACACCTATAAAACCTTTAGGTTAAAAAAAAAAAACAAAACCCTAAATTTTCAGTTTTATATTTTGTCCTATATAGGTGTTTAAAATTATACAGTACATGTTATCACCATCATTTCACAAAAGGACTTTTTTTTTTTGTCTTTTTGAGACAGGGTCTGGCTACGCAGTTCAGGCTGGGCTTGAACTCACTGTATAGCCCAGGCTGGTCTCGAACCTACACGATCCCTCCTGCCTCAGCCTCCCAAGTGCTGATATTACGGGTATGTCCCACACCTGGTGTTTACAAAAGGACATTTAATCCGCCTAAAATAAAACTTCAGCTCAAAATAGGAAAGTCTAAATAAATGTTTTATGAGGTACTAGAAAAAGCACTTTTTTTCCCTCTATAACCTACAACTCTTTCAGAGTCTAGTATAAATCCATTACCCAATATTTTTTTTTTTTTTTTTTTTGGCGGAATCGGGGATTGAACTCAGATCCTTGAGTTTGCCAGTCAAGTGCTTATCCTACTGAGCCATCTCCCCGGCCCCCCATTACCCAATATTTATAAACAACCAATTCACCCACACCACCAGTGTCCTTTTTAAAATCCCACGCTTTGGGCAGGTGAGACAGAGCTCAGCAGCATAAGCGCCTGCTTGCTAAGTGCAAAGTCCCAAATTTGATCCCCAGTACCAGAAAATAAAATAAAACAAAACAAAACCCCATGCTTTCCACGCATGCTCACTGAATTAAAACCCGAAATTGTCTTTTGGACCTCTGAACCACAAGTTCAGTATGCGCCAACCCAGAGGAAGCAGCAGTGACATGAACCCCGTGGCACGCACCATTCCCTCTGCATCTTGCTGAGCCCCACGTAGATCTTCACTTCCTTCTTTGGAGGCAAACTTTTCTCAACATCAGCCTTGATTCGACGGAGCAGGAACGGACGCAAAACCTTAGAACAGAAAGACAGATGGCCTTATCTCTGATACCAACATGACTAATGTACAGAAAAGAAGGTTCGCTGCTTAAGATCAAGTGAATTTCAGGACTTCTGTATTCCAATTATGTAACTTATTATAACTGGATTCCAGGGGGCTAATAAAATTTCATTATTTATCCAGTATATCGTATATATTTGCTATATTTGTGAAACAAGAAAAAACTAGCACATGTAAAGGTATACTATCTCAACGATCAGTACCTTTCAGGTATAAAACTACTTGCACACAGTTTGTCTAATATTGTTTAATAAATTCCTGGTCCATAGCTCTTCATAGATTTTAAATTTACTATCTTAATTTATGGAAGCAGAGTGCATCTAAGGTATACAAATCCTGACCATACAACTCAGTTTTCTTCGCAAGAACATAACCACATCATCTTCACAACTTCTACCTCGATAACCAAGTGCCCAGAAGCCATCTGGACCCTCCAGCCAGGATGTACTCTTCTCCCCAAGAGGAAGCCGTGTTCCTACTTTAAAAACTGCCTATTCGTTTCAGCTTTTTAACTCTGTCCTCATGGACTCATTCAACATATGTCCTATAGTAACTGATGCCTTTTATGCATCATGCTGTAAAATTTTCACATTGTATAGAATAGTAAGTTTCAACTACCTATAAAACTAATGATCGTACCTTCAGTTGTTCTAGTCATACTAGTTTATGAAAAGCCTGGCTGTATTTCAAAACGATCTAAAGTTGGTACAAATAACACTGATAACAGTGTGCACACATTCTGGTACAGCATTTACTGGCAGCCAGCAGCTGACCCCAGCAGAGGGCAGAGGATGAGCTCCCTGGCTGCCTTCTAGGGCTGCCTAGCCACATGCAGCGTGGTAAACCCAAGGGAAATTCATACCAGAAACCACCCAGCCAATCCACACATTTCCACTACTAAAACAAACTGTAAAGGGGCTGGGGATGTGGCTCAGTAGAATAAGCGCTTGCCTGGCAAGTGCAAGGGCCTGAGTTCAATCCACAGTTCCGCCAAAAAAAAAAAAAAAAGGAAACAAACTGTAAGGAGAGGAGTGGGTGGGAGACTCAGGGCTTAATTAAAGCATTCGACAACTGACCAACCTAGGTCCTAAGCATATCTGCATTGACTTTTAGTCTCCCTCTTACCATAGGACCATAGGCACTGGAGTGAGAATTTCAGAGTATCAGGACAGAGCAAAAGTGGCCCAGATCTCTTTCCTGATTTGATAAAATCCTTCATACTACTCTAAACAAAACAGGTTTGTCACCACTGGTCAGGTCTACTGTGTGAAGATTTTTAATGTTTTAGCTGCAAGTACCTTGCTGTTCAGGAAAGGAAATCAAGAGCATGCAGGTAAGGAAGGGGAAAGGTGCAAAAGGGTGACCACACTGTTCTGACTCATGCCCTGAAGACCATGAGCATCACTGCGGCCTCAGGAATAGGAACTTCTAAATAAAGGTATAGATGCCTACATGCCAACTAAGACAGGAAGGCTCCTCGATGGCACCTTCAAATACCTAGCAGAAATGCTCAAGTACCTTATGATTTATATAAAAATAAAACACTCATTAAAGTCAGGCACTGAACCAGGTATCCAAATGGGTATGTGACTCCATGCCATCGTGCATAAAATCCAACAAGGAAAACACTTAAGAATCATTTCAGGACCCCACATAGTGTGCTAAAATTCCAGAACAGATTACTGAAGAGTGAATACATGAAGGCACTTAGCCAGCCTCTCCCTAGCTGTTCAATGTTCAACTCTATCACATGGCCTTGGGCTCAGGATCACTTAGGGCACAGGTCTGCCTCCCAGGGGACACGTGTAATGTTCAGAGACATTTTTGTTATCACATCTGGAGGCACATTATGAGCAGCATCTAATAAATAAAGGTGCCAGGAATGCTATTAAACACTATAAAACACAGTGTAGCCTTCTCTTCCCTCTGAAAACCTTCACTCCTTTTCCCAAACCTCTACTACTCTTCATACCAAGCTGTCAGAATGTGCAAGCCCCAGCAATGGGTTATTATTCAGGACCTCTTATACTTACAAGATTCCACTATACCCTGCTTACAAGAGTATCAATCTCAAGATCTAGCAGAGAAATTTCTCTACAGCCAGGAACAAAGCGTCCATCAAAATAAAGCCAAGATATCAACTCTGCTCACTAAAGTATTGTGCATTGCCACTACTGTTAAAAACAACAGATGCATCACTAGCCCTTTCAGAAGTAAACTTGTTATATTCACCCATGAATTTTAAATGGAACTAAGCTTAGAAGTTATGGTACTTATTTCTCCCACTATACCTTTTAAACTCATTATTTTCTTCCTTCATTAAGTTAAAACTTCACCTTAGGTTCTCACACTAAAACTACCATCAATATCCCACTGTAAGATCAGACAGTTAAGTGGCAGAATTTAAAGAGACTCATGGGGGTCAGGGAGATGGCTCAGTAGAATAAGTGCTTCCCTGGCAAGAGCAAGGGCCTAAGTTCAATCCCCAGTTCCACCAAAAAAAAAAAAAAAAAAAAAAAAAAAAAATAGATTTTAAAGAGACCCAATTCTAAAGCCATTATGCTTTCTGTTAACAAGAAAATAAGCTGATGTATAACCTTACCCGTTTTTCCCACAGGAGGTATACTTCCTCACTACTGTATAATACCTACCATATGAAGCCTCTCTACTAGCTTTTGATCCCCAAGGCAGTTGTTTGTATCAAACCAGGAATCAAAGTCCTATACAAACAAGCAAAATATAATATTAATGATACCCTGTGATGTCAGCCAGTAAGACAATTTCAAAAATTAGCATACCTGAGATGTGATTCATAAAAACCATATAATCCTAGCTGCTATTTTCATATACCATTTTCACTAACTTTAGAATAGTTTAGAAATCATATCACTTGCTACCTGTTTTTCACAAAAACATGAAATTTGACAGCAAATTTTTTTTTTTTTTTTTTTTTAGGCAAGGTCTCACCATGTAATTCAGACTGGCCTTTAAACTCACAACAATTCTGCTTTAGCCTAAGTGCTAAGATTATAGGTATGTGACACCATGCCCAAATCAGCAAGTTCTATAAAAATAATTAAGAGTATACAAATACAAGGTTTCCAGAGTAAAAGTAATACCAATTTTAAAAAGCTCACTGCAAGTGAAACTACACAGCATTTGATTAGGACCTGAAGAAACGGCATCTTTTATCCTTACCTCTTGAAGGTAGATCTATGCATCAGCTTTGCTTTCAGTGATCATAATCTCACGAGTCATTGTTACAACAAAAAGACTACAATCTAATCTTTAGAGATCAATAAAACGGCAATGCAGTTAAAAAAATAAACTGTCCCAAAAACATCAAAGTACATAAAAACCAAACTAAAATGCTCTAAGTTTAAATATCATTTTATAATTTTCTCTATTATTTTCAAATGGTCATTAACACAAGAAACCAAAATACAGACATTTCCTAAGTATCTGCTAAGTGCTGACACGGAGTTCTTCACAGTGGCCCTACACACTCCCCTACTCCAGCTGTGGAACAGGCTCGAACTGAAACCTGGCCCAGACGAGCACTGCACTTACTAATAGCACATGCTCACAATACACAAATCATGTCCGTAGGTACAGTGAAGAGTTAACTACTGCCACCATCATTTATTTCTACTAGTGAAAATGATCTAAAGGACTTTACAGATTTTCATGGAATTGTTAGATCATCATAAAAGAGATCAGATAGGGGGCCCGCCCCTTAGCTCAGTTCTTTAAGCGGCTGCTTCAACAAAGCAGTCAGGCTCAGGCTGCTGTGGTTCGATCCCCACAACGCAAGCCGGGCAAACCTGCCCTGAGGGCATTTGGAGCAAAAAAAAAAAAAAAAAAGAGATCAGACAGATTTCACCACATATGAAATCCATCTCTGACCTTCTAAACACAGGTTACATGAAGTACACAAAAATGTATTCAGGAATGCTTAGCACCCTGGAAACATACCACTCAACTAGAACTCCTAAAACAAACATGAGATCCAAATAAAAGTGAGAAGTTGTCCCATTCCAGATGGAGAAAACAGTGATTTGAAAAGTCAGTTGAAATAAGAGCCTCAAGAGTAAATTCTCAAAATGCAAACAACTTTATAGGTTAATAACAAATTAGTAACACAAGCACACGAGAAGCTAGTTATTATAAGCACTGCGGAAGATGGGATATAGCTGAGCAGCCTACGCGCCTGCCTGGCAGGTGCAATGTCCCAACTTGGAAGGCTAAGGCTGGAGCATCATTGGCAAGTTCGAGACCAGCCTGGGCTACAATGTGAGCGTAAAGCCAGCTTCAACTGCATAGTTAGACCACCTGAAAAAGATAGGGAAAAAAAAAAAAAAAAGAAGAAGCCAATTCCGCTATAAAAATGTATATAGGGCTGGTGAGATGGCTCAGTGGTCTAAAGCACCTACTTAGAACAAGCTTAGCAAAGCACAGGGACCGCGGTTCAATCCCCCAGCACC